GGAAAAGTGATGGGCAGTGATGGGGAAAAAGAAGTGGTTATTACCGTTATTTTTGAATATTGATTAAAAAAATTTTTTTTATTTTTTATTAAATCTGAGTTACGTAAATATGTAACACATTTAATTTAGATTTGTGTAATGTTAATCTTACTAAAATATTAAATTTTTATAAAAATCTTAATTTAGACTAATTCCAAAAATCGGCACATATGTCATTATTAAACTTCACAAGTCTAATTATACAACACATCAAGCTGATAATATGGACAAACAGTTGGTTAATTTATATGTCAATTGGAACCAAATGTATATCTTTTCACGTAAAGATGAATTTACAGAATCAGACCTAGAAATTTTTAAGGTACAGTATATAATAATAAAACTTATATATATTTGATGGTATTAATATATTAACCTATTTATATTCTATAGACACTTATAATTAATTGGGCAAAAGGGTTCATAAAATTATTATCACCATATTCACCATCACAAATGCAGTTACCGAAACTACATAATTGGATGTATCACGTCATTGATGCAATTAAAGAGCATGGCGCTATTAATGGTTTTGTGACTGAAACGTATGAATCACTTCATAAAAAATGGGTCAAAAATCCATACAGAATAAGTAATCGACGTGATGCAACATTACAAATGCTAAATACGGTAAGTTATCACCTAAATTAATAATTAATTTACTATAATATTATGATACTGATGATTAATAATTTTAGGTACGAAGACAGAATATAATCAATTACTTGTTTCAATTTTCAAAGCCAGTTGGATCTAATGTTAAACAAAATACATCTGTGATGAATGGAAAAATTTTCACTTTTGAATTATCATCATTTGATAAATTTGTTTCATCATATCGAAATACAACTACTTTAGCACCAGAAGCATTGGAGGCATTTAATCAATTTTTACCAACTTTAGATAAATTCTTTGATCTAATCAATTTGGCGGAATTTATTACAACCCATTTAATCATATCTGTTAAATGGTATGGATCTGCGGTGATATCTAGTGGGGATACGGTTCGTGCAAATTCTAATTGGTATGGTCAGCCTATTTTTGATAATGTTTCGATTAATATGGATAGTAATGAAATCGAAGATTACACTACATATGATGGATTGTGTTTTGGAAAAGTAAGTTTTTACAAAAATTATAAATTTATTATAATTACAAAACCTAATTAAGTTTTATAGGTATTAATATTATGTTCGGTCAAGATTTCTTCATTTAATGAAGCATTTTATTTAGCACTAGTAAGGTGGTATGATTATAAATACAAAAATAGGCTGAACTTGTATGATTGTCCATGGATAAAACTTACTTCTCAATATGAATTTATACCAGTAGATTCAGTTGTAGAACCTATTCATATAATACCACGATTTGAAAAAAACAATGAATATTTGGTCAATACTTTTATGTTTTAATTTCTAGGAAATGACATTAAAAATTATGTAAAACCAATGTACAAGCGTGAAAAATTATATTCAATGTATATATAATAAACATTGCAACATATATAAAATTTAACAATGTTAAAATGTAAATTATTAAATAATGAATTGATAGTAACGCATCGTTAATGAATATTACCGAAATAATAGTGAACATCTGGATGTGATATACATTATGATGCACAACAGTCATTTGACTTCCTGATGTTGGGATTGGGATTTGGGATGGGATGGGATATGGGAGGGGAGGGAAGGGGAGGGGATGGGAGGGGATTTTAAATGGGCGGCAAGTATACATATGCCAAAGGATCAAGAATTGGATCCGTCATACTAAAAAACGCAACCGTCTCAAAAAACAATTACCTCCACTACCTGCTGGTTTCGTTGGAGATCAGCGTACATATTATTACGATACGTATAATATCAACTTGTTTGATTATAATATTAGACGACGCTATAACGTCAGTTCGATCCCTCAATATAATTACGGTTATTCCAAAGCGGTTGAGCTATACCGTCAACATCATGATAAATACGTCACGATGAATGTTATACAATTACCTCCTAATGTTTCCTACTATATTAAAAAGAATGATCAATATATTTTTAACGATCCCGGCCAAACATTTTTTTCCGGCGCACACCTCCTCCGGACAATAACTTGCACACTACCATGAGTGACCTAACTTATGTTTCGGCTAGTGAAGGACCTTCCGTTGTGGAATTTCCGCCTATACCGTCATACGATTAACTCACTTGATTGAGTTCAACAACACCGGACCTTCAATATACATCATTCCACACCTGACAGTATTTACGTGTGGTGTCATTATGACAAAAGAAAAATATGGATTCTAGTGATCGAATTGAACTAACCCTTTTGTAACGTTCCTCTCCCTTAGGTTTAGGTTCCGTTTTCTTTTTTTTCGTTCTTTGATTACTGTTTTGTCTAGACTCCCGGTTATGCCTGATTGTTCTATTGAATAAGAGGCAAGACGACCCCTTCAGGCTCCCCCCAAGAGGTTGGGTCTATCATTAGCTTAGAATTTATTGTTCTTTTAGATCATGTTTATTCTTATTTAGCGTTCGACCCCAGTTGAGTCTACATTTTAAAAATAAAAATAAAATAAAAAAAAGTAGATCAATGTCACGAATGTCATAGATGTATGACATATCATGAAAATTATATATAATTGATAGGTTTAATATGTTTATTTTATCTGTTATATTTATTTTATCTGTTATATATTATATGTATGATTTATTAGTTATATTAGTTATATATTATATAGTTATTATATTTATTTTATCTATTATTTTTGTTATATCAAAATATATAGTTAATTTTATATAAATACAACGCTGTAGACAAGTGAGAAGAGGAGGACGCTCAAGGTTGTTTAGTTTAGAAATCATGATGAAGTAATTTTGGTTTTAATGGATCCTTTATTCATGTCTGATCGTATATGCCAGAGTGTTGCTATACTTTATTCATGTCTGATTGGATCATTATGATTGTTTAATTCTTTATTCATGTCTGATCGTATATGCCAGAGTGTTGCTATACTTTATTCATGTCTGATTGGATTATTTGTATTAGTTTATTGTCTTTCTTATTTTAATAAACCTTCTGCTTACCATTTTCATTTTGTTTATGTTTGTAAACACTAAAAGAACTGACCTAACAATATTGTGGTTTTAATTTCTAATTTTCTTTTTTTTTGTCTTATAGATGAAAAGGAGATCTAAACCTTCATACAAAAGAGCAAGACGAATTAGAGATTCCTGAAGGTAAAGTATTATTTCTTTTCATTTTTACTTTAATTGATTTTTAATATTTTAAATTTTCTTAATTAGATTACTAAATTTTTTAAAATTCTTTATAAAAATTTGATTTTTTTCGCAATTTTTTTTATTATAAATACTAAGGCTAGAGTAGAATTAAAACATCTTAGTAATTGTAATTTAAATAATTCTTTATTCATGTTATAACTTATTATTATTTGGATTTATTTAATTATATAATTTATTGACATATTAACAAATTTATATATAATATTGTAACTTAATGCTTTTAACATTTACAAAACTAGGGAAACGGTAAATGTTAATATTTATCTGTTATTTACTAAGGATCTTTTTTTATTACAAAAAAATCAATTACGAATTATCAGTGTTACAAAAAGAGGAATATGATTGAAAGGATTTTTAAAACAAATAAAAAAATCATTGTTTAAATTTGAATGTTAAAAATTTCGTCAACGAACTAGTCCTAAGAATGTTACTATGGAAGAACTTTGCACAATAATTCAATTAGATATATCAAATTAAAAGTGAACAAATCGATTTATGACTTATGTAATATGAACACCTTAATTTGATGATTTAAAAATTTACTATCTCTTTTCTATTTAGATTTTCTTGATTTTTCTTTTCTTTCCAACTCTTTACTGGCCCATTGATAGAGGTCTGCATTGTCCCTTATTTTACAACTCAGCCCGGAATGGGACCTGACTATATTACAGGGGACATTTGGCAAATTTTTACCGAGAGTTGTCAGGTTGTCGGATTGTCGGTAGCCAATCAGACCAAATGGAGTCACGTGATATTAGCTAAATCATGTGTTCGTTATTTTTTCAACTAGCCGACAACCTGGCATTTGTTGTAAAATCGGCCAACTTTAATTTTGGTCAGTTTAATTTTGGCCAGAATTACGAAAATCCGGGTTTAACGAAAAATCAGGTGCTGGCCTGGGTGAATTTTGAAAGAAAGTTTGCCGGCCCAAACTCAGATCCGGGTCTGGGTCAGGTCCTGGTTCGTGTGTATTATTTTAATTATGTAGTTAAATTTTTTAACGTAATAAATTAATAGATACTTGATATACTTTCTGATTTATTTAATATATATGAAATAAATTGAATTATTTAAATTACAAACTAAGAATTTGTAAGAAAACTTACTACTCTAGTCTTAGTGTTTGAAATAATTTAGAATATAAGAATACAATGTTTAAATAAAAAAACTAGCTATATAAAAATTGAAGTTTATGAAAAAAATTTTCAAGTTCATTTTAATTTAAGGATGATTTTAACGCTCACCAGTGGTGAAATTCACCCAAGGTAAAGTTCACCTATATTACATAATTTATTAAAATTTAAATTGTTTTGTTTTGAAAAAAATAATAAATTTATTAATAAAAATATGACTATTTCTATTTGTACACTACGTGTGTAAACACGGGTCACGTGATTATTGTCATTTTTCCGGTGATCTGCATAAAAAATTCCTATTTTGGAAATTTGTGTAACGCATTTTCATTTTTACTGAGAAACAAAATTGCCTTTTTGGGTTGTATAACGTTACTCTAATTTCCAAAATTGGAAATTACAGTAATTTTTGGCTGGAATTATAAATTTGGCCGAAATTATTGGGCGTGACATATAATATGTGACAAATAAGGTTTTTCCTACCGAAAAAATTCTAAGTCCCTAGAATAAATAGTAAAAATGGAAAACTATAGGGGTGTGACATGGGTGACAAATTATAGTCACGTGATACGTGTTTCGCACACTAGTGTATATTAAGAAATTATCTAAAAATATTTATATAAAATATATAGTTTAAATATAATAATATATTATACAATAATTCATAAGTTAGTAT